GCCCAGGCCCCCCCCACGGGGCTCCGCGTCACAGCGAGTGCCAGCACCCTTCGCCCGGCCCCGTGTTAATGATCCACCCGCCTGCGCCGCTGCCGCCACTGCCAGCCCCCGGCAGCCACCCTGGTGAGCCCTGTGTGGTGGCGGTGGTGGTGGTGGCAGCAGAGCTGGGGGTCCTCAGCCGGGACGGCTGGGGGGGCCGGCAGCTCCCTGCCCCATGCCCCACCCCTCCGCCCCAACACCCAGATAAGCGCGGCTGCGGGCAGCACCCATTTCCCGGCGCGCGGCGTGGGTGGGAGAGCTGGCAGGGACCATGGCCGTGGCGACGGTGAACCTCCGTGCTGTGACCTCCTGGGTGGGCATCGCCCGGCTCTTTGCCATCGTGTTGTCCTGCATCGCCTTCAGCTTGGTGGCCTCCACCGGGGACTTCGGGGGTCCCTACGGAACATGGTGCATGTTCACCTGGTGCTTCTGCTTCGCTGTGACGCTGCTGGTGCTGGTGCTGGAGCTGCTGGAGCTTTACCCCAAGCTGCCGCTTTCCTGGGATGACTTCACCTCAGCTTTCTCCATGCTGGCGGCGTTGATGGTCTTCACCACCTCGGTAGTTTTTCCCTCCACCTTCATCAGCAGCCCCTGCAGCAGCAACAAGTGTGTCCGGCAGGCCGTGGCCACCACCTTCTCCTGCCTCTGCTTCCTTGCCTACGCCCTCGAGGTGGGGCTCACCCGTGCCAAGCCAGGGGACATCAGCAGCTTCCTCTCCACCGTGCCTGGGCTCCTCAAGGTCTTTGAAGCCTATGTGGCTTGTCTCATCTTCTCCTTGCTGGATGCCTACAGTTCGGAAGCTGGCCTGCAGTGGTGCGTGGCTGTCTACTCCATCTGCTTCATCATCACTCTCCTCATCATCATCTTCACCATCGGCCGGTGCCTCACCTACATGCCCTGCCCGCTGGAGAAGATGCTGGTGGGCTACAATGCCTTGGCCCTGGTGATGTACCTCACTGCCACCATCCTCTGGCCCCTCTACAGCTTCAGGGGAAAGAGCCGCCCCAACTCCTGCGGCAGGAATTGCTGGTGGAACAAGCACCTGGGGATCACCTTCCTCACCATCTTCAACCTCATCGCCTACTTGGTGGACCTGGTCTACTCCACCAAGATGGTTTTCATCAGGGCACCTCCCTAAGGGCTCCGGGTGCCCCCGTGGGGTGAGGTGGTGGTGGGACGCGACTGGGTGCTGGTGCCGGCACTGGTGTGGGGCTGCCAGCGGAGCTGAGGAAGAGGCTGGACGCCTCGGAAAGCTCCTTCTCCCCACGCCAGAGTGGAGAGCCACAGGGTGCTCCTGGGGGTGTGCTCAGCCCGGTGCCCCATGGTGGGGGCCAGAAGGCTGGGTGGGGGGACCAGGGTGCTCCCAGAACCCTGGAGCAGGGAGGGGGGGCTTTGAGATTAAATTGGGTCATTTTTCACTTGCTTCTGCCTCCTCTTTCTCCTCCTTCCTGGCTTTCTGCGGGATCCTTCCCAGTGGCACAGGGGGCTTGGGGGTGAGAAACGGGGGCACCAGCAGCACCAGTGGGGCACTAGCAGTGGTGGTGGGGGGGGAGGGGGGCACTGGGCTTCAACAAACCCTCTTTTCTCCTTGTTGACTCAGCACTAGAGTGAAGCAGGGCATGACCAGGAAAAACCCAACCCGGATGCCTTCTCCTTGGCACCAGCAGAGGACCCTGCCAAACGGGTTTGGGAGGAATGTGGCTGCTGGGGGGGCTGAGAGCCCGCCAGGTCCTCATCACTAGGTTCTTGTCATCACCCCCGTCACCCCATCAGGAGCCCCGCTGGGTTTGGTCCCAGCCATGCTGTCAGGAGCCCCGTGCCTGCTGCTTTACCCTTTGGGAGCTGCCAGGGAGTCCCCTGCCTGAGGGGACACAGGGCAGGGGGTGGCTGTCACCCAGTGCCACCGGCGCTGGGGGGCCAGGACGGTGGCACCGCAGGCCGGTATACCAGGAAAAAGGCAGCAGAGCGGTGCAGGCAGATAGGGACCGGAGCAGGCAGGGGAAGGTGTGCCTGGCAGGCAGAGCTCCTGGCACAGCGCTCCCGGATGTGGGACGGGTGCTGGGGCACCCCGGCAGGTTTTGGGGCTACTGTCCCCACTCACGCTGCTCCCTCGGCCGCTGCTTGGCCTGGCCCAAGCCAGAGCCCCGCCGCCTTGAGACTCACTGGGGGCCAGAGAGTGGGGTCCCCACCACCACGAGATAGCACAGAGCAGCTGCCACGGTGGCTGCACTGGGGGAAGTTGGAGAAAGAGTCCGGACCCACCCTTGGGTGCCACGGGGCCCAGGGTGAGTGGGACCACCATGCCCGTGCCAGGGCCACATGGCGCTGCCAGTGATGGCAACAGCTGCAGGGCTGCCTGGTGGGTGTCACCTTCACCCTGTTTGTGTCCCCACCGTGTCATCCCCTCATGACCACGGCGCCCTGGCACGGCTGGGCTGCTCCCCTGCGCCCCGGGCAGCGGGGCCGGAGGGTGCCGCGGTGCCGCAACACCGAGCAGCACGGCTTGGCCTTGGCGCTCCCGGCAGGGCTGTGGCAGTGGTGCCAGAGCTCGCAGCCTCCCGAGGCAGCAGGTTTGGGAACAAATAAAGGGAAAACCGCAGCGGCCGGGCCCAGCCCTGCCCAGCGCCCGAGCGTGGCTATTTTTAGTGCCCAGGTTGATTGAAATTCATGGAGGAAAGGGCTGGGGGAAGCGCGGTGACGGCTTGTCACCGTTATGAGTTGCGGCGCTTCGTGCCGGTAACGTGTTCGGCTCTGGACGGCACACGGGCGGTGCCGGCACACGGGGTGCGGTGAGGCGGGGGGTGCCAGCGCCAGGCTGGCAGTGGGGTGCAGGTGGGT